TGTGGCGCGGATCTGCGCATCATACATCGCTGATAGTAAGGGACTATTTTTGGGAATTCATAGAATTTGGATTGAGTTCCTGAGATCATGTGAAAAGCTACGGATATACACAGTAGGTTTGATTGTCCGGACCAAGTCCGAGAGTTCATGATCAGAACCCAGTATCGGCTGCACAATCCAGCTAGAGCAATTAATTTTGCACGCACACATGACTCAGTCAGCATAAACAGTCACATCCATTTTCATGTAGTCCAAGTGCCTGCTTCTTGCTAGCATCCCAATATGAACCATGCGTGTTGAATTCACAGCCATTTCAACTACAAGTAGTAGCCCTCCAGATAAACTCTAGGAAGTGCAATCACTCCACACCATCCCATATTTTCAGTCCTCCGCAACCCAAACCTCCTCCTCCACATCATCAGTATCACCACTATTTACCCCCTTATATTCATCAATCACCTTCGAATACCGCTTGTCCACATAATCCTCCAGAAGCAAACAAAACGACCCATCCGGCTCAGTAAGTATCCTCTTCGCCAATTCCGCCAATTCCCGACTTTTCGTCCGAAGGGCAACCAGCGTCTTTAGCATCTCGTCTTTGTATTTCGCTGCGGTTAGTTCTTCGCGCTGGTCCCAATTATCATCAGCACTTAAATACTACTTCTCCAGTAAAGGGTCAAAGAACATAAGGGTATACCTTATCACGAATAGCATTAACCATACTCGAATAAAACGGCTTCAAGGGCACACATATCGCAGCGATTACATGGCTACTTAGGGGGTCGAAGTGACCAATGGATTTTCCAGTCGCTATTGCTTCGTCGAGGCTCTGAAGCGCTTCTGAGGAACGGGTCTTGACGTCGTCGAGACGTTCAGGAGTGAAGTAGCGGACGGATTTGTCGAGTCTGATGATCTTTAGCCCGTTGTTGAGGAGGGAGGCGATGAAGGTGATGGTACCTTGGCCGCGGGTGTGGAGGTGTTCTGTGCTCGGGACTGGGTTGGCTAGAGTGATGGAGGGGAGGATTAGGAGGGTAGAGAGGAGAGCGAGCGTGAGGATTGGGAAGCGCATTTTGGATGTATGGTCTTGAATGGGATGAAGGTAGAGCGACAGTAAGTAGGTCGCTATCGCTTTGCTGTGGCTCCCATGGGGTCTATATAGCTGTCGTGTCCTTCGACACTGAGTATATGGTGCGACACAAGCAGCCACCTGATAATGCAGTCCACACTGCAGAGGAACTCCAAGGTAGGCCGTGCGTACACATTGGGCTACATACTACTATGGTGATGCTATTCAAGCCCATACCTCTGCACGATAGGTACTGGGTCCATGCAAGGTTCTCCGTAGCATTTACCCCAGATTTACAGGGGTTAGACGCACCTTCACCCTGACTAGTCTGTATATAGATAAAAGGTTAACACTCTTGAGTAACACACCACCGCCCGGGCTTTCGCAACGGTCCGTTCGGACTTTTTGCTGCACAGTGGGTAGCACTTGGCAAGATGAGTCAATTAGTTGGTCCTCGCTTAGTCTAGGATATGGAATGGTATAATAATGCGGCGGAGTATAGTATAGCGCATAAGTTTCTCCCTTACGCCAATGGACAGTTCATGAATAGCCTAGGCATCTAAATCACATAAAGGTGCCTCAGGCTACCAGCAGTGCCAAGCTCTTCTTAAAAGGAGTGGTAGACACCGTCAGATCTTTTTTTTTTTTTTTTTTTTTCGTTTGTAATGGTAGACCCCACGCATAATGGGGGCGATTGCCATGTGTGACAAAGCATAAGCATATCATAGTGTGGGATAAGCGAGCCCAACGTGACCAAATTGGAACCGCGAAATTTACCGCATTGGATCAATAACGGAGTCTTCTGGTCCTAGAATGTCACACATTCATCATGGAGTCACGCGCTTTAGACTTCAACCTGACAATCAGATAATCCCACTCAGCAAGTTGTAGAATCTACGAAAGTAGTTAATCAGCCCACAAAACCAATCTGCATCCAAAGTGGGTAATTCACCCACAAAAGAACCCCATTGCAAAAACCACACAGATCCGAGATTATGCACTACCCCTCAATTTAATATTCAAAATGGTGCGCTCACTCCGGATCCTCCCCCTCCGGGAAGGAAAAGGAACTAACCTCCGGTATCAATCAGATGGAACTGAATTCGGAAGACGGGAGACCGTATTAATAACCACCCGACGCTCATAGCCTCATAGAAAAGGGTCTTTGAACTTGGCAACCAGCCCTACAGCCCTACAGCCCTATACAAGAGCTTGGCAAGCTTGGCAGTATGGAGAAAGTGGTTCGACGTCTTCATTTTGAATATTTAAGCTTTTTAAGATAAATGAACTTTCACTCAATTGATCCAGGCGAAGCCCGGCTATTATATATCCACGGGGAGGTGAGACAAAAACCGGCCTGAGTGCCTGAGAAGGCAACCCTGCAGGAACGCACAGTACGGTACCAGTACCGGAAGAGTCGGAAAAAGATAAGAGATTGATTGATTGATCGGGGTACTCCGTAGGGGAAGCGCGGTTAAAGGGAAAGCAGCATACGGTAGGTATTGAGAAGATCAAAGGAATAGCGGTCGCCATGTTTTGTGTCACCTGAAAGCGATCACAATGGATTGCGTAGATGATTGGACACCACCCGTCATGATCAACGTGGGATCTGTACGAAGCCGATTGATCCCTCACAGCCTCGTAAGCTGGAGATGATACCTCCGAACACGAAGACCATGCCACCGATACTGAATCGAGCGATGATAGCCGATCGAGGCTTCCGAAATTACTACTAGTCGAGCCCCCGTCCCATTATCTCACCGGTCGGAGAAGAAAACCCCTCCGCCATCCCGTCCGGCGTCCACGTAGCTCGCAAACCTAACTTGCTAGTTGCTACCTATAAAGCCAAGCCATCCGTTCGCCACCATTATCTGATGATCTGATTACACCATATCTGATTATCTCGGCTCTTGATTATCTGATCCATTGATTGATAGATGTTTATGGTCGGGATACCATTTTAACACATAGGTTTGCCTGCAAATGGCATCTCAGCGGCAATGGAGCCGAATGCTCATTTTCACCACCGTGCTGCTGGCAGTGTCGGCGTTCAATTATGGGTTCAGCGATCAGGCATTCTCCTCCTGTCAGGCTATGGACTCGTTTGCTCGTCAGTTTGGGGTTTATCATCCCAGTACGGGCAAGTATAAGGTGAAGCCGTTGTTTACTTCGCTTTATAATAGTTTGAAGGCGGGGACGCAGATTGTCGGTGAGATATCCCTTCTTTAAAGGCTATTGGGTATTTGTCTGACTTGTTCGCGATAGGTGTCTTCCTCGGAGGCTATATCAGCAACACCTATGGTCGGAAATGGTGCATATTCAGCATGAACCTCTACGCACTAGGGAGTGCAGCGGTCGTGGCGAGCTCTAAAACGGATGTACAAATTTTAACAGGGCGAGCCTTACACTGTCAGTATCCCTTAATCCCTAAAACACATACAAACAATCGTCTAACTTCTACAAGACATCTACCTAGGAATGCAACTCGCCGTAATCCCCACAACCCTCGCCGAACTCGCCCCCCGAAACATCCGCGGCGCCATGGGCGTCCTCTACTGGCTGAGCATCAAAATCGGAGGCATAGTAGTCACCGGCATCGCCCGAGGAACCTCAGGCATCTCAACCAACGCCGCATGGCAAATCCCCTTCGGCTTGATTCTCGTGATCCCGTTTATCTGCATATGGCTGGTCTGGATAATCCCCGAATCGCCACGATGGCTACTCCTCTGCGACCGCCAAAACGAAGCACTCCAGGCGCTGAAACGATACCGATCGAAACACACCCCCGAACATGAAATACAAGAGGACTTTGACGAAATGGCCCAGAAAGTCGCAGCCCAGCTGCAGAAGAAAAGCTTCAAGGACCTCTTCACTAAGGGGAATCGTGAACGCACATTTGTGGTTGCCGCCGCGAACTTCTTCCAGCAGGCTTCGGGTCAGGCGTTCGCCAGTCAGTATGGGACGCTGTTCGTGAAGCAGTTGAAATCGGTCAATGCGTTTAGTGTTACCTTGGGGACTAATGCGACGGATATTGGGGCATTGATTATTTCGACGGCGTTGAGTGATGTTGTGGGGCGGAGGTAAGTATACTATCTATTTCTTCTAATAGTGTTGTTTCAATAACACTAACGTTGAACTTCAAATTAGAATGCTCTTCCACATCAGTGGCTGCCTCGAAACAGCATCCCTTATGACAATGGGTGGTCTCGGTACCGCAGACCCCAGTAATACCGCTGCGAAAGAAGGTATCGTCGCCATGTTGCTTCTTTATAGCTTTGGTTGGTCTCTTGCATGGGCGCCACTGGTGTATGTGCTTGGTGCGGAGTTGCCTTCGGCGGGGTTGCGAGAAATGACTCTGCGGATCGCGTATACGGTGAAGCTGGTTACTGAGTATGTACCTTTCCCCCCAAATCTTTCTCATATGTTTCTTCTATCATGGATGCTAATAGATAATGGTATAGGTTCGCTGTAACCTTCTCCTACCCCTATCTCGAAACCGCAGATGACCCAGGCCATGTGGATATCGGTGGTAAACTGGGATTCATCTACGGGTCGCTCTCCGCTGCGTCGGTCGTATTTGGATACTTCTTTATTCCTGAGACGAGGAAATTAGAGTTGGAGGATATTGATAAAAAGTATGAGTCGTCGACGACGGATAGTGAATTGATGCAGAAGGTTGAGTATCAGGTTGATTTGAAGGAGGTTCGACGGGCGGGTATAGAGGGTTGATTGAAGTTTCTTTCAGAATTATTCTACAGCAGATATAAGTCGATTAGAATAGATTTATCTGCTTTTTCTTACGTTACTTTGAATTGTGGAATGTTATTGTGCACCCATTCACTTCCATGGGTGATTAAGGGGCTATGCTCCGCAGCGGGATAAAGCCGCCTTGCTTTACATGAAACACTTTGGGGAAATTCCATCACCAACAAATGGGCCTATGGCGCAATTGGTAGCGCGTAGTAAGTTCACCTGCATCCAATCGGATCGCAAAAAAACATTCTCTAACAGATTTCCAACAGCGACTCCAGATCGTAAGGTTGTCCGATCGAGCCGGGCTGGGCTCATTATCTTTTTTTTTTTTTTTTTTTTCGTTGGGTTCTTCCGAACCACAGAATTGAACCATGGTATTAAAAAATGTGCTATTGGATGGAATTCAAGGATCAATCAGAGATTCTTATTATAATAAATTCTCCTTGTGTTATTATTATCCGTATTGTTACGGTCATTCTTCATAAGCGAGACAGTTCTTTGTTCAAAGAGGCAAGGAGTAAACGGTTCATAACGGTAGGATCCACCAACATAATGATTCATTCAGGGTGTTATAGCAGCATAAAAGTGAATACATCGCAGTTCGTTCATCTGTATATACTCTAATGCTAAACGAAATACCATTAGTAGCGTATTCTCATACCCACCGGTCTCAAGTACTGCCTCTGCCCGTATCAAGCCAATTCCAATCGTAAAGCACATACAAGCATCATATAATCATCAAAGAAGACCCTCAGCCACCAACGCTTCAGTCCTCGACTTGCTGTTCGGGTCAAGGTACGGCCTCTCGCCAATACCAACCGCCCGATGACCGAACCTCTCACCCAGGCCTTCATAATCGAAAGTGGCAGTGTGGAACGCACTCCGGTTATCCCAGATAGCTATCGAACGTTAGTCCCGAAGAATTCACACACTAAGTACTGGACATACCAATATCATGCTCATTCCTCCACTTAAACCGAACCTGCAGATCATGATTATCAATAATGACGGACCTGAACTTCTTCAACAGCTCCTCCGACTCATTCTGGTTCAGCTCATTGATATACTTCGGGAACGGTCCCAAAGCAAAAATACTCTTCCACCCCGTCACCGGATTCGTGCGCACCACCGGATGAACAGCCACCAGCTCATCCCCGACGTTGAGCGGACTTCCCCGAGGCTCAGTGTATAACTGGTATTCTTTCGGATTCCGTTCCGCCGCCTTGATGAAGCCTTCCCCTGAGAACGTCGCGGTCAATCCCTCGAAGAATTCTTGGTACTTTCTCGAGAACCGGTCGTAGATCTCGTAACCAGAGGCCCAGAGCGTGTCTCCACCGCTGCTGGGGAGTTGGGTGAGTCGGAGAGAGGTGTAGTCCGCTGGGGCCGGCTCGAACTGGATGTCGGAGTGCCATTGGGCCGCGTCGTAGCCGCGGCGGTTGGGTTGGCGTTCGTGGGCGAACATCTTCTTGCGCGCGAGAGAGCTGATAGTGCTGATTTCGGCGTCGGAGGTGCCGAACTCGTTGGTGTGGTTCAGCAGCGGGTGGATGTGTAGGGTGGAGGTGGAGGGTTTGCCGGTGAGTTGGCCGAGTCGCTGGATGAGGTCTTTCTGGAGGTCATCGGTGAGGTTGCTTTGGGCGCGGAAGAAGACGACACCGCGTTGAGAGACTGTTGATCTTTGATTAGTGGATGGGATATGGTTGGAGGGGATTGGGAGAGGCACTTACTTGTGATGGCAAGGTCGCGCACCAACTCATCGGAGTTCGGGGCGTTCAGGAGATCATCGACGATGTTGACGGTGGGATACTCGCGGCCAATGACTGGAGTGGTCTCTTCAAAGGCGAACTTATCCAACGCACCAGTAGTCTTGAGTGGTTTGGGATACTGTGGTTTGTCACTCGGACCATCCCCGCTGGATGCGGGGTGCGAGTGAATGGGGAGATCTGCAGAGAGTCCAGGAGCCATGATATTTACAATGTAATTGAGACTGTTAGTAATTAAGCAAGGTGTTGTTGGGATCTTGTTTGGCTGGACAATGGCTGAGATATATAGAAACTGGGATGGGATTGATAAGCACAACATCCGACCATCACGCAATTGCCGTCCCAGCTGGTGCAACAATGCTCCAACAACAACCTCTCTCTCGTATCGGCATCGGCCGCAAGATAGGAACCCCGCATCTGTCAGATGTCTTGCGCAATTCTGACTGCGAATGATGGTCTCGTAATTCTCGATTATGCAAATAATGGCCAGAGGCACGCGTAGCTACATCCGTGCGGAGAAGATCGGGCGACTAGGGTAGTTGCGGTAGTTGCTCCTCAGATTGTCGCATATTCAGCTTTACCGAAGACAATACAGCTATGCATGGTATTTGAAAGTAAATACTTTGGTCTTATCTGATCTATGTCAGAGATATACTTTGTTTAGATAATAGTTCTGTCTGGACGGTGAGAGCACCATGCCTTTAGAATATAAACACTGCTACCTTCCTTTCTCCTTCTATCCACAAAGTCAACTTATCAAAGGATGAGCTGAGCATGTTACAATGAGTTCTCCAAATGCTTCGGCTGCAACACGACGATTTAATGATGAAAATCGCTAACAAGCCTCAAAACAGAGACAAGCCGAGGAAATCAAGAGCCGATCGATCACGCAGACAGTAAAAGATATCACTTAAAGGCACTTAATTTAAGGCCAATGATGGAGTGACTGGGAGAACCAATCATCTCTTTCAGTACCGAGTTTCGACAGACGTGACGAAAAATTGAAGGTGGGAATGGGCTGGAACGAGACCGCTCTTCTTCATAGTACCAAACTGGCGATCGAAAGAAAGATACTTTTTGCGCTAGGTCACGGTAACACAAATGCAAGAAAGGAGCTTCACGCTTTGTTGGTAGTAGATCATTTGCGTACATCTGCATCGTAAGCGCTCCGAACATGATTGATCTGCACTCGAAGTTGCACCCCCGAGTGCCGCTCTGAAGATCTCTGTGTGCGTCATAGACACCGCTTAAAAGATGGTATATAGAGTCTTGTCTTTTGTCATTTATTGACACTGCGATTTTTTGTCAGTAACAAATGCAAGAAGGGAGATTGTGGTATTCTTACTGCAGACGCTCTCGGGGATCGGAAGGCCCCTATTGCTGAAGCAACGGTCCCCGCATGTCATTGCAGTCGAGGTTGATCTTCTGAACTCGTCTTCCAGGTCAAAGACCCAAGATATCCATACCCATAAAGTCACATGCCGTGGAAGTGTTCTGTTTCCCCTCGATTTCAGACCCTCGATCCAGATATTCGTCATGAAATGCATAACCTCTTTGCAGTCGTAGTAATCAATGATGACAGCGATTTTCGCTAGCATCTCGAGACTCACGCTTTGCGGTACGGTGTAGGTTTTCCCGTGGATCGCATTCAGGAGAATCAAGAGCGCCTCAAGATCCCAACTCTCGGCAGTGATCTCAACGAAGCCTTTGGACTGATAAGTCGCGCTTTCCTTCCAACCACCAGTAAGCATGCTTCTGAGAACCGGCGAGGCAAGCATCATATGTTTTGCAGAGACTTGGATGCGGAAACATTCCCCTTCGGGCGTCTCATTGTGAGGCGCATGTTCATCCAACTGCTCCTCGAGATGCTGTCTTTTGGCAGGTCGCTCTTCGTCGGGTTGCTCTTCGACGTCATCAGATGTTTCTGACTTGGCGTCGATGTCCATATCTGCAGTCGTGTCTTCTTCATCGTCTGGTGCGAATGGCGCGTTGGCATTGCGCAGGACGATGATGACTTCTCCATTTGGATCGATGATATGAGTGGGCTGATTCATGGTGTCTGCCAAGTGCTGAAGGAACCAGGGATCACTCATAAAACGAGTGAACAAAGGAACTAGTGATGGTAGGAGACAATTATATATAACTAGGCTCAAGATTAAGCTGAATTTCATTAAGTGAAAGAAAAGTACAAAACTCGGATGACCAATACTCAACCCGCCATTATCCAATCGGAACTTTCCGTGCCATGTAGACAATGAGGTTAATCTTCTATGATAACTGAAAAAGCCGGTAAATGGCAGCGAATTACATGCTTCAAAATAGGAAGTAAGGAGTTGACGATTCTGAGGCTCGCTGCGGATTGTGGCTGCGAGGGAGACAATCATTCAAATCAGCGGATTATTGTTGGGCAGTCATGAGTTGCTCCACTACGAGAACAACAACCGGTACATGCCACAATACTATCGACATTAAGCCACTGGGAAATTGTCAAGGCTAAGTAAAGGGCCTACACGGGAAGACCCGTATCTCGGGACCTCCCGGTCTCCACGAAGCGCTGTTTTTACATCATCCGACCGATGTACATCATAACTTCTTTCAATATTAACTAAACACTAATAATGTTGAGTGTGTGCCGGAATCGGCAGAAATCTAAAATATATGAAAATAATTTTCCACCGTCTCTATCGTGATGGGACGTCAGATTCCCAGCTATGGCATGAGCCTACCACATCCTGCGTCGAGACATCTTGTCACGGACGGACATCAAAGCCCTGAGGATGTTGGTATCTTCCCTGGAGTCAACACTTCGTTGAAAGCTCTTCGGCCACACATCCTTGTAGGTCAGGTTTGTGAAAAGGGGCACATCCACCTGACAGATCGTTCCATCAGCGGGCAAAGTGCCATTGGTGAAGTAAGCCCGGACGGCCTTGGCGGTACAAAGAGAGGGCATGGACAAGGTAGTGTGCTGTCACCAGTAGGTTAGCTGCTTGCTCACTCGCTATAGACAAGATGGGAGGGGGATATGAACATACACCGTATCCGTTCTGCTCGAGCAATACACTGCCCTCGAATGTTTCTGTCAGGTTCTTCGCTGCCGGAAGAGGAGTCGCAGGATCGTAAGTGTTGCTCAGAATCAACACCGGGTTGGCGGTCTTGACTTCAAAGTCACCGGAGTAGCGTTCCTTGGCGAACATCTGCTTGTTCCACTGTGCGCATCTCATGTCGCCGACTGAGCCATCACTTCCAATCTTGGTCAGGGCCTGTCTGGCGCGGGTGTGCGGAAGCACTTCCTTCAGGGTGGCTGATCGGTGCTTGTCGGAGCATGTAATGGCGGTGCCGACCTCGTCGGACGCCGAAGTCAAGGAAGCGGACTGGCCGTATGATTTAATGGTCTCGTAGATTTCGGAGTTACCGAGGATCGTCGTGTTCCGGGTTTGCACATAGTAGATCAGCTCGGAGGTTTCGGGCCAGGAGCTTGGGAGGTACATGGCCTCGAAGATGGTGGATTTGATATCAGCGTAGGTGATAATGCCACCAATCCCGGGAATAGCGAT